ACACACAGACACACACATACATACACATACACACATACACACATACAAACACATACGCACACACTCACACACACACACACACACACACACACACACACACACACACACACACACCACACACACACACACAAGCAGAGTCTTTACCTTCAAACACAATACTTTGACACATACTTGATTTCGCATATCATTTGAAATCCGGATTTCTAGGAGAACATGGAATCTAATATAACTATATGTCTTAACTTGAACTAATCTTTATCTAATAATGAAAAGCATAAACCGCAGGGTGTTGACAGATTGGTCTCAGATTTATAGCTTTTGTTTTTATGTGTAGCAACGAGAAAGATTGACCGTAAAATCTGTCTGCTTTCATGAACACAGCATGTGGCTTCGAACTCCCTTCTGAAAGCGCTAAGCCGAGCGCAGACATGATTGGCGTTTCTTATTGCTTCCCCAATATTTGTCAGCTATAAACTGTCGAGCGCCGAGGCTATTCACACAGTTGACTTGCCTTCCCAAAGGTTTTCATTCCCCATGTTATTTCTCCATTTGTAAACAGAAATATGGACTGCAACTTTTGTTCGGCCGTTTTGCTTTACTTTGGATTATTATTATCATCTTTATTTGTGTGCCGTAAGTTCACAGTTTTAGTTAAATGATTTTATGATTTATTTGTTGACTGTGCCAAGAAGAATCAATGATATCCATTTCACGGGTAGCTTTACTTATCCAAAGCCAGCCAACACACTAGACAAGCCAGAAACATGCAGAAATAACCCACTTTTGAGATTATGTTTGGTAAAACAACGAAAACAACAAAGCTGCAATGGGAACTCCTACACAGACCAATTAATTTTGCTGAAGGAAGTTGACTACCTCTCTCCATAATGTAGTATCAAGATGTGTCGTCTACTTTTTAATGTTCAATTTCCATGGGACTGATCGAGTTTTCCCGGAGCCACGAAGAGTACTAAAAAAAATTTGAATTGAGACTTCTTACCATCTTTTTAAAAATTCAACAATTACGTTTTCTAGAATAAGCAGTCCTTATCGGGTGTCGTAATTCCAGGTGGTGGGACCGATAGTTCTACGCACGATGTCTCCTTGAAAATATATTCTAGTATGAGTGTATTTCGTTACACAGTTTTGACAAGATCTGCACAAAACGCTGTTACATACACTATTATCACTTAGATAACCTTGTCATTTATTCGTGTTTTCCCGCAGCACAGCTAAAGATTCGGGGTCTAGCGTTATGCTTTTGATGAGGTTGTTAAAGTTGTTTTTATTCGACAGCGCATTCTATACCACACAGACAGTTGCACATTACACACAAACATTTAGACTGTTGGTTTACACTGGGGTTATGGCTACAGTGGCACCCACGCACTGTGTGACTGTGTGACGTTGGCCTACCTTGGCACATAATTTGTATACCCTTGCGCTCCAGACCACTGCATAGCCTAAGCGAAAGGGCTCTGGTTTGCTTCCCCACCTCCCCCC